AGCTCCTCCCTTCACGCAGTTGCCTTGGCCACGTGAGCTGTGGCGGCCATACGATTCCAAGGTAGTTCCCTCCTCCACGTGGCCTTCCGGGGGTCCCCTCTGCCACCTTCCTGCTATCCCCTCTCACACTCATCACGCCTCCCTCGCTCCTTCCCCCTCCCTCCTCCCTCCTCGAGCCCGTTTCTTCATTGCTTGGGGCATGACGGGCGTCATGGCCCCCGCTCCCCCCCCTATGACGTAACGCTCCCCCCCCGAGAGCGCTCCGGGCACGGCCGCCGTGCGCATTGGGATCCACGTAGGTGTCCGCGTAGGAATCCGCATAGGTGTCTGGTCCGCAGTCGTCGTCGTCGTCGTCGTCGTCGTCGTCGTCGTCGTCGTCGTCGTCGTCGTCGTCGTCGTGGTTGCTCGTGGCTCGTCGCTCGTCGCTCATCGTCGTCGTGCGCGCGGACGCGGCTGGAGCATGATTTTTTAGGTCCGGGCCGATGACGGCAAACATCTGGGGGGGGGTCGATGACGTCACGTTTCGCGCCGGCGGCGTCTGGGAATGCGTAGGAATGGTGGAGGACGGGTAGCACTAGCATGTCGGTGGCGATCTGCGCCACAACGCCTGTGTGTATCAAAGTGCCCGCGTGCACCAGAGCGCCTGTGTACACCACACCGCCTATGCACACCACAGCAGCCGCGTGCAACACAGCGTCAGTCTGTGCCACCGTGTCTGCGGGCACAACAGCTCCTGTGTACGCCACTGCGCCTGCGTGCACCACATCAGCCGTGTGCAACACAGCACCACTGTTGTGTATATAATTTTAGAAGGAATCCTTGTGATCAAAATCGAGGGCTTGTGGATTCCAGAGAAAACAATGGAAAAGAAATCCTTATGGACAAAGGAGCGCCGCTGGAATCTACGAGTCCTCCCGAGTCCGCCCGCATCACCCTAACTCCTACAAATTTGCGTACATAAAGAAACGCGCTCCTCCCTCCTTACTTCCTCCCCTTCCTTCCCTCTCCTTCCTCCTCCTCCTCCTCCTCCTCCTCCGCCTCCCCCTTTAGGGCCCCTTACAACTTGCATGAAGTCTTGCGCGAAATCTTCCGCCTCCGTATTGACCCCTCTTGGCCTGGGCGCTCGCTCGCGGTCGTCGTCGTCGTCGTCGTCGTCGTCGTCGTCGTCGTGGTGGTGGTGGTGGTGGTGGTCGTCGTCGTGGTCGTCGTCGTGGTCGTGGTCGTCGTCGTCGTCGTCGTCGTCGTCGTCGTCGTCGTCGTCGTCGTCGTCATCGTGGCGTGGTGGTGGTCGTCGTCGTTGTCGTCGTCGTCCCCGTCGTCGCGGTCGTCGTGGTGGTCGACGTCGTGGTCGTGGTCGTGGTCGTGGTCGTGGTCGTCGTCGTTGTCGTCGTCGTCGTCGTCGTCGTCGTCGTCGTCGTGCCACTAGCCGTGAGTTCGGCCCAGACGCCCGTGCCGGCGCGCCCGCGCGCCGGGGCCGGGCTCCCAATGGCAAGCGGTTGTCCCCAGCGTGCCGCAGCCAGGCTGCCGTCGCGCTGAGCAGCCGCGGGAGGTCTTCGCGGCGCCCACGCGACTCGAGGAGGAGGAGGAGGAGGAGGAGGAGGAGGAGGAGGG